TCTTTTTCTTTCCTGATTGCTCTGGCTAGAACTTCCAATACCATTTTGAATAGGAGTGGTGAGAGAGGGCATCCTTGTCTAGTCCCAGGTTTCAGAGAGAATGCTTCCAGTTTTTGTCTGTTCAGTATGATATTGGCTGTGGGTTTGTCATAGATAACTTTTATTATTTTGAGATACATTCCGTCGATACCTAGTTTATTGAGAGTTTTTAGCATAAAGTGCTGTTGAATTTTGTCAAGGGCCTTCTCCACATCTATTGCAATATTCTTGTGGTTTTTGTCTTTGGTTCTTGCTTTATGTATCTGGGTGCTCCTGTACTGGGTGCGTGTATATTTCAGACTGTTAGCTCTTCTTGTTGCATTGATCCTTTCACAATTATGTAATGCCCTTCTTTGTCTCTTTTGATCTTTGTTGGTTTAAAGGCTATTTTATCAGAGACTAAGATTGCAACTCCTGCTTTTTTTTAATCTTTATTGCTTAGTAAATCTTCCTCCATCCCCTTATTTTGAGCCTACATGTATCTTTGCATGTGAGTTGGGTTTCCTGGATATAGCACAGTTGGGTTTTGACTTTTTATCCAGTTTGCCAGTCTGTGTCTTTTGTTTGGGACATTTAGCCCATTTACATTTAAGATTAATATTGTTATGTGTGAATTTGATCCTGCCATTTTGATGCTGGCTGGTTGTTTTGCCTATTAGTTGATGCAGTTTCTTCATTGTGTCAATGCTCTTTACCATTTGGTATGTTTTTGCAGTGGCTGGTACTGGTTTTTCCTTTCTATGTTTAGTGCTTCTTTCAGGAGCTCTTGTAAGGCAGGCCTGGTGGTGATGAAATCTCTCAGCAATTGCTTGTTCATAAGGGATTTTATTTCTCCTTTGCTTATGAAGCTTGGTTTGGCTGGATATGAAATTCTAGGTTGAAAGTTCTTTTCTTTAAGGATGTCGAATATTGGCCCCCACTCTATTCTGGCGTGTAGTGTTTCTGCTGAGAGATCACTGTGAGTCTGATGGGCTTCCCTTTGTGGATAAACTGACCTTTCTCTCTGGCTGTGCTTAGCATTTTTTCCTTCATTTCAACCCTGGTGAATCTGACAATTGTGTGCCATGGGGTTGCTCTTCTTGAGGAATATCTTTGTGGTGTTCTCTGTATTTCCTGGACTTGAATATTCACCTGCCTTGTTAGGTTGGGGAAATTATCCTGGATAATATCCTGAAGAGTGTTTTCCAGCTTGGATTCATTCTCTCCATCACATTCAGGTACACCTATCAAATGTAGATTAGGTCTTTTCACATCATTTCATATTTCTTGGAGGCTTTGTTCATTTATTTTCACTATGTTTTCCTCTAATCTTGCCTTCTCATTTTATTTTATTGAGTTGATCTTCAATCTCTGATATTCTTTCTTCTTCTTGGTCAATTCGGCTATTGAAACTTGTATATGCTTTGTGAAGTTCTTGTGTTTTGTTTTTCAGCTCCATCAAGTCATTTATATTCTTCTCTAACCTGTTTACTCTCATTAGCATTTCATCAAACCTTTTTTCAAGGTTCTTAGTTTCTTTGCATTGGGTTAAAATATGTTCTTTTAGCTCAGAGAAGAAGTTTGTTATTACCCACCTTCTGAAGCCTGATTCTGTCAGTTCATCAGACTCATTCTCTATCCAGCTTTGTTCCCTTGCTGGTGAGGAGTTGTGATCACTTGGAAGAGGAGAAGCATTCTTTTTTTTTGGTGTTTTCATCCTTTTTGCACTGATTTCTTCCCGTCTTTGTGGATTTATCCACCTGTGGTGTTTGTAGTTGGTGACTTTCAGATGGGATCCTTGAGTTGACGTCCTTTTTTTGATGATGAAGTTATTTCTTTCTGTTTTTTAGTTTTCCTTCCTCTGCTGTAGGACTGCTGGAGGTCTACTCCAGACCATGCCTGGGGATCACCTGTGGTGGCTGCAGAACAGTAAGGGTTTCTGCAAGTTTCTTCTTCTGTTTTCTTCATCCCAGAAGGATACCTGCCAGATGTCAGCCTGAGCTCTCCTTTATGACGTATCTTTTTAGATATACAGAGGTCAGGGAGCTGCTTGAGGAGACAGTCTATACCTTATAGGAGCTCAAGTGCTGAGCTGTGAGCTCCATTGTTCTGTTCAGAGCTGCTAGGCAAGTATGTTTAAGTCTGCTGCAGGGGAACTCATAACCACCTTTTTTCCCAGATGTTCTCTCCTGTGAAGGTGCGCCTTTATGTATAAGTTCCTGATGTGCTGCTGCCTTTTTTCAGAGATGCCCTGCCCAGCAAGGAGGTAGCCTAGTGGCAGTCTGCCAGCAGAGGCATTGCTGCGCTGCCATGGGCTCTGTCCGGCTGCTGTTTGAACTTCATTGCAGTTTTGTTTATAGAGGTATAGTTAGAACTGCCTCATTAATGATGGTCTGCCTCAGTAATGGTGGACTGCCTCAGTAATGGTGGATTGCCTCAGTAATGGTGGGCTGCCTTGGTAATGGCAGACTGCCTCAGTAATGGTGGACTGCCTTGGTAATGGCGGATGCCCTTCCCCCAACAGAGCTGGAACGTCCCAGGTCTAGTTGAGCCTGCTGTGAAACTCTCAATCCAGAGGATTTCAGATTGCTGGGCTTTGTGGGGGTGGCACCCACCAAGCCAGATCACTTGGCTCCGTGTTTCAGACCCTTTTTCTTCAGTTGAATGGGCGGCTCTGTCTCTCAGGCGTTCCAGGCACCAGTTGAAATGGCCACCCAGATTTGTGTGAGTTTTTGTGCAGAGTCCTGCTGCGCTGGCTGAACCAGCTGTACTGGAAACTCATGGCACTTTTCAGCCCAGGAATCTTCTGATCTGTGAGCAGTAACAATTCGTTTGGAAATGCAGTGATCACTCACCCTCTGCATTGTTGTCGCAGGGGACTGCATTCTAGAGCATTTCCTATTTGGCCATCTTGGATCCCTCTGGCCAAGTATTTTTCTAATTAAATAGTCTCCACCAGTGTGATTAGTATGATTCTTGTTAGTTATGTAACTCTGGGCTAGTCACTTTACCTTAAACATTCTCAATTATCTTTTGTACAAAATTTGGTATTAGATAATGAATAATGGGGAAAATTCTTTGCAAGTTGGAAAGAAATATGCAGATTTAGAATACTTTTAAGATCTTACTTTACAAAAAGAAGACTCTCATTTGCATTCCAATATTGAGAGCAGTTTAGGAACTTCCAGTTAAGATGGCTGATTGACCACACAATTTTATTTTTCTTTCCCATGATTCTAGTTAAATGTTGACAAAGAAATTTGGAAAAGGTAAAAGTCAGATAAAGAGAAAACATTGGTGGACAAAAATAAAAATAAATTTAGAAATTGGAAAGAGAAGTGATAAATGATTTAGAAAAAACAATGAGGGAGCTGCAATCAAAACTGACTGCTGAGTGAGAGATTGATGAAGCATGACCCTAATCCCCTGTGGAATCATTTAGAAGCTCATGACTTGAAGGCACTAGGTATTTTAGAAGGTAGGGATAAGACTCAGAAGGAAAACTGCAAGGACTGGTTGAAAGTCTGTGCACTGAATGGTGAGATTGTCCAGTCTCCAATTCTATCCCCATAAAACAATGTGAGTACATTTTCCATCTCCTCCTCCTATTACAGACTGGAGATTACTTTGCACAATTTAAATAGGTGTGACTTTGGATTCAGAAAAGGCTGAGGCTGAAAATGGAAAATGGGTAAAAATTAGATTTTGAATGACGAGACATCCCCATTCCTACTTACATACAGACACACCTCACTCTTAGCACTAAGAAATGTGCCTCAAAGCAGGAGGTTGAAAAAATCTTCTCTCAATAAGCTGAATAACTCCATTAAAAGATTGCTGTATATAATAGCATGGGGGAGATCCTCATAATAATATGACTGTTTCCTTGCCAAATGATTCTACAGAGAATCCCCATAAGCAAGTCTCACTTATGTACAAAGTCATATCATCCTCAGTAATACTATTATTTTTTAGTCTGTAAGAATAGATATCCAAAGATACCAGACGTTTGAGAAAAGCTTCCAATATGAGAAACAAGTAGACAAGTAAACAGGAAGTGGAGGTAATGTGTAGCTAATGTCCTCAAATAATAAATAGCTATGAAAAAAGAATAGTAAGAAACCTTAGAAACAAAATATGACTACTGAAATACAAAGTCAGCAGAAAATTTGGAGAATGAAGTCAAAGAAATTTCCAAAAAATAGAGAAACAACAAAGAAAAAAGACAATAACAATAAAAATCAAACAAACACATTTATAGACATTTGAAGAGAAAATATTGAGACTTATTGAGTTAAAGAAGGTCCAACATCTGATCAATAGGATTAATGGGAACATCTAATCAATAGACTTATTGATTTATTTTAGGAAGGTCCAACGTCTAATCAATATTTCCTTTTGTGTTGCAAAAGGAAATACAAAGAAAATGGAAGAAAGAAAACTTTTTTTAAAAATAAAATTTTTCTAATTGAAAGAGCCCACCTGGGTTAAAAGTACAGTGATTGAAAAAGACCTTTACCAAGGTACAATAACATGAAATTTTAGAGCATCATGGAAAAAGAGAAGAGCTTTTCATTTAGTAAAAGATATTGTTACACAGAATGAGCATCAGGAAAGCACTGGACTTTTGGCCAGGTGCAGCAGCTTGTACATGTAATACTAGCACTTTGAGAGGCTGAGGTGGGAGGATCACTTGAGGCCAGGAGTTCAAGACCAGCCTGGGCAACACGGCAAAACCCCATGTCTACTAAAAATACCAAAATTCACTGGGTATGGTGGTGCACTACTGTAATCCCAGCTACTCAGGAGGCTGAGGCACAAGAATTGCATAAACCATGGAGGTGGTGGTTGGAGTTAGCCAAGATCATGTCACTGTACTTTAGCCTGGGCAACAGAGCTAGACTCTGTCTCAAGGAAGAAAGAAAGAAGGCGGGCGGGGGGGGGGGGGGAGAGAAGGAAGGAAGGAAGGAAAAAGAAAAGCACTGGACTTTTCAACAGTAATTCAAGTTGCTTTCTTTGGTTTTCTTTCAGAATTTGAATTTTGTGAGTATCTTCTAAGTCACTCCTAATCCTAACTAATTTGAGGTAATCTAGATTTTAAAAATACCATGTACTTTTATTTTTTTGAATGTTACTTGTGCTATGTAAAAATGCTCATATTTTATCAAGGAAAATTTATGGCATTTTCAGCAAAAATTTATACAAGCGTCACTATTTTTTTCTCTATAAAAGGCCAGGGATATTTCAGACTTTGTGAGAAAAACAAAATTGAGGATAAGTAGGTACCTATGTAATAAGAGAGAAAATAAATTTCTACAATATTTTAAATTGATAAAATTTAAAATAATTTCTTTTGGGAGAGTGATGCAATTTCACCTAATTGGGGTTCAAGTTGGTGTTTTCTATTATCAAATCAGTTGCAAATGTTCATCTGTGAAAACCATTCTTACCGTGCAGGTCATACAAAACAGATGGTGGGCCAGATTTGGCCCATGAGCTGTAGTGATTGGATAATCCCTGTTTAGTCATCAGCTTTTATTGCCTGTTACTGAACTTTTGTTCTGGTCTACTGAGAAATTGTGACATTTTCTCTGGGCCACTGCTGCCTATACACGCGCATGAAACCTGAGAGAGCAGTCTTTTGGCCACTTTCTTTGTCACTGATACTGAAATTGTCCTCCCTGAACAGTAGTGTAGGTATCACCTGGGAGCTTGTTAGAAGTGCAGAATCTCAGGCTCTGCTCCAGAACCATTGACTCAGAATCTGCATTTAAACCAAGTCTCTAGATGATTCTTACACAAATTAAACTACAAGAAGCACGGCTCAAGCATATGGCACTATCAGGCCTGATCTAGCAAAATCCAATGAAAGACAGTTCTCCAGAAAACTTCAAGCAAAGCACACATATTTAGTTTATTGTCTTAGTTTGCTAATGCTGTTATTTTAAAAAATGTCTGAGACTGAGTAATTTGTGAAGAACAGAAATTATTTTTTCTCATAGTTCTAAAAGCTGGAAAATTCAAGGACAAGGTGCCGGTAGGATTGGTTGTCTGGGGAAGGCTGCTCTCTGCTTCCAAAATGGCACCTTCCACTTGGCAGAAGGTAGAAGAGAAAATGGGCTGAACTCATCAAGCCCTTTTATAAGAGCCCCTAATCCCATTTATGACCATGGAGCACTGATGACCCACTCACCTCCCAAAAACAATACCTCCCAATACTGTTGTATTGGGGATTAAATTTCAACACGAATTTTGGAGGGAGGGAGCAGGAACAGTCAAACCATAGCACTCATATGCCTAGGTATTTTAGGGCAAAGCATATTTTATCTAAAGGATCTATGTTTGCTTTTTATTTGCGACTGCACTCTGGTGCCAATGAAAAATGACTTTCTTAAAATTGAAAGCAAAGTTTGATTCCAGCCTAAATTTAATCCACTCCATTTTTAATTCTTAACTCGTATGAGGTAATAACGCACCCAAAGCAGAGTGGGGTTTATCAGAATGCACACATTTTAAACCTCTAGCCTATCTGTATTTACAAGATGAAGCACAATGATTGCATAGGAGATATTATATTCAGATAAATAATGTGTGTTTTAATATTGGCTGTGTGGCTGCAGACAAGTCCACAAGAGTCTTGAAGCTCTTATAATTTATGCTATTATTAAACCATCTAATAATTTTCCAAATTAGTCTACAGTGAAATAAAAGAAATTCAGAATTTATTTGAACATTAAGGTTGCACTTATGATTTCATAATGAAGCTGAACTTAATACTAAAAAAGTGGGCATGTTAAGATTCTTTAGGTATTGGTAAAAGATTCTTTAGATATAAATCTATTTGCTGAGAAAACTATGGATTTCTATGGGTAGGCTGATGTTTGAGTTTCTGATATGTAAGCTCACAACCATAAGTATGAAATTCTATTGAGTCCTTGAGAAATTCCCCTTGGATCCATAATTCTGGCAAATTCCCAGAACGGGGAATTTGCTCAGTGTTAATATATCAGTGTTCATGAACCACTCTTATAAAGGCAGGTATAATTTTATTGTCATATATATCTGCTGCCTTTGGGGAAGATATTTGTCACTCACTTTTAGTGTGGCATATGTTTTTTTATTTTTATTGTTTCTTCCTATTTATGGCATGTTCCTGTATATAATATATACATAACATATCACATGTACTCTCACACACACACACAGACACATAATATATTATATATATATTATATATATATGACCTTCTATCTTTTGTTTTTCTAGAGACCATTGGAATTCATTCAGAAGACCCAGCTTCAGTTTGTGTTTAATTTCTGAATGTAGAACAGGTAATCATTTACATAGAGATCAAAAACACAAATATATCTCTACAAGGCATGTTATATGCTTCAGATTACATATTAGATGATCTACCTCACCTCAGATTTAATTCCAACTTGATGTTACATTTCAGAATTGAGAATACTAATGTGCTTTTATCAAACAAATGTGCAACTGAATGAATGAGTTATTCAGGCTAGATGTTTACAATTCATGTTTTACTTCTTTTGGTGTTTACACAGTTCCTCCTATCAAGTATTCTACGATGGGTACATACTGTGATGTTTCTTGGGAAAATGTATCAGTTTGAGAGCTCTATTTTAAAATAATTTTTCCTGAGATAATTGTACTTGCAATGAAAGTAATGGGATCCCTGACTTGGTTTTAAGTTTAGCAACCACTTTGGTTTCAACCAAAAAAAGAACTTTATATGACAGCCAATTATTAGAACCAGTTGAAGTTACTGGTTATGTATAAAGGGACCTACACTGGCTGTGTCTATGTCATAAAGGCTTTTAGCTGGAACTTGAATTTTTATGTTTTTATTTTAAAGAGAAAGGTCTTGTAGTTATGTGAATCTATTTCATCTACATTTCAATTTAAATGTTATTTAAAAGCCAAGATAATTGCTACCTACTGTGTTGTACACTTCTGCTTTGTGTAAGCCTTAATAACAATCTTAATTAGGCTAATTTTAGTCAGATTAATACTTGTGTGTGTCAGCACTAACTACTGAATACCACATACTGCAGGATTTTAATTAATGCTAAGGAAAGGAAATGTTCATAGTGTAAACATTTTGAACTAAAAAAAAAGATAAAATGAAGTAAACCCAATTATGACAGAGGATAAATTACAATAATATCATTAGTTCTGGATATTTAGTGAATTAAGATTGACTTAAATAGATAAATCCACACAAGTGTAATATCAGGAAAATGCAGTCCTTGGTAAAGCACTCTGAGCCTATGAAGTCTTTGCTTTTCACAGTCTTGGAAGACTTAGCAATTTTTTTTTAATAGTTGGTACCCTGATATACTTTTTGACCTCCATAGGTGATGAACTCAGGAATGTTGTATCTTGAATCAGAAACACCTTTGTCATTGCATTGTTTATGAACTAGACAAAAAAAATAAGTTTATTTTTCCTTTGTAAATTTCTAGTTTGACCAACTGGGTAAGATTTCCCCATCTCTCACTCTTGGTCTGGGCTGTGACTTTGTATGTCAAACATTAGGCATTGCCATTGACTTTACCATCTGCCTCCTTAAACATGACAGTGCCTGGAAGGGGAATTCCTGAATGTGGAAGAGAGTGTGAGAGCCTAAGGAGTAACTGCCCATTGTGATGACAAAGGGAGTTTTTCAGTTACTTCGTAGTGCTAATTGGAAACATGATTAAGGATGCCAAGCTAGCATCAATACATTAACTACTATAATCTAACAGCTACATTTAGCTGGTAAGCAGAATAGTAACAGTAATAATAATAATAAGTTATACCCTTAAAATTAGAAAACCTGTTCAAATGACACTATCTTTGTGATCGCTGATCTATTAAATGATAGTTTATCATGAAATTAAATGTGATTTGTGTATAAAGGTACCTAAGTTCAAATTAGGAACTCATAAGTTCATTCATAATTCATATACTCATCTACTTCACCCATATTTTCAGGCACTTGAGTTCAAGGTGAAAGGTAACTTTACTATGAGACTAATTCAATTATGTAAATCAGTATCAAAAAGTACCCCAGATTGGTACTTTTATGTCTTGATAAAACTTGTCAGTCTTTCATAATCATAATCAGAATATGGAAAACTTAAGGAAATATCTAGTTTAAAAGATGCATATCATCACGCTTTTATAGTCCCATAGCAAAACATATACAAATGAATGAATGAATGGAGTGTGGTTCAGAAACAACTGAAGTCAGTATTCTGTACCCAGTGGAACATAGCTTAGTATCTTTTGAAGTGAGTCTAGTTTTTCCTTTTTCCTGTGCAATAGGTCTTGTTACCAATTTTGAAGGGAAATGTTTAATTCATTAACAACATCAAACAATATACTAAATAACTCTAACTTTTCTTAATCCAGAAAAAAAAATACCTTCTTTAGGAATAGGTATGATTTCAAATATGTGGGAGTACAGAATTGTCCAAATGAAAGTCGCTGAACTTTAAAGTGAATTTAAGACTTCTTATTCTCAGGAAGAATTTATTTTATCCACGTTGTATAGGATATTTTCCTAAGGTATCCAAAATTTTTAAATTTGTAGTAATGAGGATGACGTGGAAGCTCAGATTGGGATATTTCTTGATACTCTACAAAACTGCCAAGATTTTTGTTTCACAGTATGATTCTCCTCCATTTTGTCCTGCACGCATTTTGTTTCAATCATGGACTTGCTAGGGGTATATACAAACCATGTCTTTTCTTTTTTATCTTCAAAGTACCCATGCTAATCCTGTACATTCACCAAATATGTGCTGGCTTTTGGATTTCTATATTGGCAGACAGAAAATACTTTTTAAGACTTGAGGATGGATTGTCAAGACCTATTAAGACTTATAGTTTGCTAAAGCCTATTACAATAAATAAAAATGGGGTTACTGGCTTAAGAAACACATCACAAAAGGTTATGTACTGCAGTCCTCTATAATTGAAGATGATAAAATAAACTAAGGTGAGTTTAGTCACTTTTAGTTCTAACCAAACAAACCCACCCCCATGAAGTGATCTTGAGTGATCTGGGAGATAAAGAACAGGAAACACAGACGATGAAATGTAACTTCTGTAAACAGAGAAGCAGCAAAAAGTATCTGTGACTAGAAGACTGTGTAGTCTCCACAGATTATTTCAAAAGAAGAGCTTAAGAATAAGAACAGGTTAAGTGAGAGAAGAGAATCTTCTATGTGCCTGACCTTGACTATTTCAATAGAATTGTTTCTCAAGTAGAGGATAAGATGTTAGGTTACCATTGCATATTACTTAAGAACTTCAAACTCCCTTTGCTTTCTGTTTATGCTCACCAAACAATTAAATATGCCCCTTGCACATGATGACTCATAAAAATAGCTAATATTTATAGAGCTTTTGCTATGTGTTTGGACTACGTTCTGGGCACTGAGTCATCCTGAGTGATTTCAAAAGTTTTACAGAACAAAAGGATCCAAAATTTATCTAAGGTATGTCCTTCAGTGAAAAAAAAAAATAAGCAAAGTAAAACAGGAAAGCTTCGGTGGCTTTTTCAAAGTCATCAGGAGCAGTTCAGTGGCAGAGTTCTCTGATTCTTAGATTGAAACGTTTTACCGCACCTGCACTTTTGTCTTGTTCCCTGAAGGTGTTGAGGGAAGACAGGCAGAGGAGAGTATGATCAGAATGGATTTTCATCCTTCTCTCCCATTTCAATCTGATACATTTTATATTATGGCCTATTGATTATGTTCTGAGAATAATGTCCTAAATTGTTTCACTTTAAAATATGATTAAAAGCATTATTGTTATACCACTTACTATTTAATAAAGTATTGCATTGAAGTTGTAATTTATAAAACTAACCCTTAATCAATTTTTTTACTGATTCAGAAATTAAAGTGATCTTTTGGAATTCATTAACTAAGATTCATTTAACTAACTTAAAAATATGTTTATTTTTAAGAACATATTTGACATTGACATAAGGGATAAGGACTGCCTGACTTTAAGGACAGGTCATTTGATAGCACTGGAAATTTCACCATCTCTTTATATCTGGTGTGTCTTCTGAGGAGACATAAATATAAAAGGATGGGAAGAAGATGGGACACATGTCTGGCTAGAGATTTGGGAAGATGGATGTTATAAGTCACAAATTCACCTTTCCAATTTGTCAAAATCTGACACTACTCAGGAGCATATAGCTAGTTCAGATCTTAGCAGAGTGTTGTTTTAAAAAGTTTCAAATGATTCACAAGAAATGGTTAAGTTGTACTTACTGATGCTTGCCGACAGAAATGATCCATCTCTCTTAGAGGGAAATAGGCAGGTGCTGAAATACTCCAGAAAAGGAGCTAAAATTAGTAATGGTAGGATGCTGATGGCATTCATTACTGCAATTGGCAGAAGAAATCCATCCAAATTCAGGTTGGAATTCATGGTTTGCAGATAATATCCTGAAGGAATCTATTCGAGAGAGAAACAGCCATGTATTAAGACAGTGTTTTAACTTTGAAGAAAGCATCAGCCACCAGATGCTTGCATGTACCCTATGATAGATGAGCTGGATGTTCCCTAGTTTTTCAAGGTTCCAGTTATGAGCTGATAAAGGGTCTTCATCTTTGGTGGTAGGAGCTCTATCTAGTCTATTGACAATAGTACTGATTCTTCACGGAAGACTCTATCGTTAGTTAGTCTCTCTTAATTTTTCTATGAAAAGTAATGATGGCCCCAATTTTCTGCTTAAGATGACACATAAAAAACCAAATAACTTAAATTCTGCCGATAAGCAAAATAACTTTTCTTCATGAACATTAATACAAAACCAGTAGAAAATATTAAGGATGTCTGTTTTTACCCTGATGGAAAAAAACTAGGGCTAAAATAGATTCTTTAAAAAGCACCTAGTTTGGTGGCAGTATGGAAATGACTTTTCCTAAGAAGAGGGGCCCAACGGACACATGTTAATTGCTGTAGGCTCTTTGTGGGGGCTTTCTAAGAGGGTTTGTTTCTAATTCAAACTAAGTAACATGGGGAGAGAAAAAAAAAACCTTCCTGTGTCTTTGCCCTCCCTTCAAACTAATTACGTGATACTAGAATTCCATAAAGGAAATGACATGAAAAAGATTTGCATAATAAAGATACAAAATAATAAAAAAAACAAACCTGTGCTCCACCCCAAACCCTCAATGTATTGCTAGAATTTATTCATTTAAAAAAATAACCCCAAGGCTAACTAAAACTCTAACACTAATTTAGAGCTTCTTAGTGTATACCAAGCCTCTTGGCAACCTGGTGTGATATTAGAACCAAGGGATGATGTCACACGAAAGGAGTGTACCTTTACTTATCTAGTTCATGAGCTTTGTTACAGCTTCATCATGATCGTCAGTAGCTCAGAGTATTTCTTTAATTCCCAGTGGTACACAAAGCTATTGAGTGGCATGGAGAGAAAGTCAACCAAGTCTTGAAGAATGAGTCCTCCAAACTCTTCTAGTACAAAAACTGCATTAGGAACCCTGCTTTACCACCATCCTGGGAGAGCAGCCTCATTCAGATATCCTGATGATAACTTCTCATTTGAAACCTTTGCTAACTCCTTCTCTTTACTCAATTGTGCAATTCAAGAGGGTATATGGAGAATCAATGTTATGGTGTCAGTATAGCTGTTACCAAGTCCACCAGTTACAAAATGAGCCTATTGCCATGTTAACTGCCCAAACACACAGGACAAGACCATGTTTTCACTGAAATTCTTTCTATAGAAAACCTGTTCTTGTGATCAATTATCTTCCAGCTTTAATTTGACCCTCAGCATAGTAAACAAGGATTGTTTTGGCTGGGTACAGATGGCAAGAGTTAAATGAACATTAGTTAGTTCTGCCCTACTTCAATAAAATTATTAAGTATGGATCCCCCATCAGAGGAAAATGAATGATGTGTTTTAACAAAAAGTGCTGGCAGCGGAACAACTCTAAGACTGAAAGGCTCCCAGCACAACTTGGAAGTTTCTGTTACTGATTTCAAATGAGAATTATTGTTAATAGGAATAAAGTTATTATCGGCATGAATCACAGACACAGAAATCTGTTAACTTAATAATGTGGCAAATGTACTATTAATCTTTAGTGTAGCAATATTAATATATTGCCTAATCTTAGAAAAGGCTCCAGTGTCTTGAAAGCTTGAAATCATTCTGCCTCTGCCTCAAGTTCTGAAATCATCCCCCTGTAAAATTTTAAATACTTTTATTTCATCCAAGCCTATGAGTATTCAGAAATAATTGCTGTCAATAGAGATTCATTTTCACCTTTCAGTGGCCAGTAATGTCAAATGGCAACCTCATCAGCCATAATATCAACATATTTTAGAGGTATGTCTTGCAACTGAAGGTCAATAATGGCTACTAAATTTAAAATATGTATGAAATTCTATGATGTTTTATTCTTGGTACTTTGATTGCCTTTGTACTGGTGACTATTTCATCTGGGAGCAAAAACCTAACCCCAGCCTATACTATTGGAAATTCCTCTGCCTCCCTGGCGAAGTATGATCTGGGCATTTTCTTTGAAATTTCTAACATAGCGTTGCTGTATATAATTTTGGAGTCTGTGTAGTTTATATCTGGGTTTTTTAACCCAGTGCAAGAGTGGTATCAAGGGTAATAAAGCATGGCCCTTGAAAACAATCCTGAGTTTTGGGATATTGCTCTGCCACGCACTAGCAAGGTGACTGGGAATAAGTTGTAAGTTAGTTTCTGAGCCTCAGATTTAGGAGAATAATAGCAAAGTAGCAAAGTATGTAACAGGAGATTAAATTACATCTGTGAAGCTTTCTTTTAGAAGTTATGACATATAACAGGTGATTAGTAAGTATTAGTTTCTGTGCTTTGCAATAAATTGGGCATCTAGACTTGGTGAGATGCTTAAAAATTAGTTTATCAAAATGTGTTGTAATTTATATTAAATTAAAAAAAAATGACCGTGTGCAAAGAGGCTCGAGCTTAATGGAAAGAAATATCAGGATTCATTGCATTATGAAGGTAAGGAGCTGGTAATCTGTGCTACACATAAGGTTTTGAGGTTAGCTATGGACCATGTAGTAATTTTGTACTCTTTAGCAGTTTCTCCATTCTAAGATGTTTCATTACATCATGCTTACATATATGGGCAATATTTCTGTTGTATTCTGTTCTTGTGCCTACTGCTAATGTAGAGTCAAAAGGGAGTTTGAATCTCCTAAATCAGACTAGCTGTCATGCATTATTTAGTCTAGAGGTCAACAAACTTTTCTGTAAAGGGCTAGATAGTAAATATGTCCACATATGAGTTCTGTGGCAATTACTCAACTCTGCTATTTTTGTGCATAAGCAGACATAGATATGACAAACCAAAAAGCATGGCTATGTTCTGATAAAACTTTATTTATGAACACTACAATTTAAATTTTATGTAATTTTCATGTGCCAGGAAATACTATTCTTTTTTGATTTTTTTTTCAAACACATAAACATGTAAAAACAGGATGTACAAAAATGAGTAGTGGACTGAATTTGGCCTGCAGATGGTGGATTGCTAACCCCTGATTTAGAGGGGCAGGCACTGTACTGAGAGACAGAGGTTAGATTCTGCTTTACCTTGCACTACTATTAACTGTGACCTATGGCATTTCACCTCTACCAAAAGAAACTCACTTAATTTTTCTGAGCCTAAGTTTCCTCTTTAACAAATAAAGTAGTTGATGAAGTTAATCTCTAACTTTTGTTGCAGCTCTATTATTCTGTGATTTCTAAATGTAACTCCTTACTTAGCCTTCTAAATTCCAAGTTGGGGGTTAGCAATGAACAAAGTCCCAGATTTGTTCAAAGACTTTTGTAATCATTTATTTTTCTCTATAAATAAGTTAGCCTTTAACCACATTTTAAAAAATTTAAATTTTAAAATCACGTACATCTAAAAAAGATACTTTAGATTCAGTGTTTTCCCTTGATTTCCTCACAGCACAGGAACTAATTCCCCAAGGAACTAATAGAGTAGGTGGGGAGAGAATCACTTGCTCATTAGTACTTACATTTAAGAGTACAGTGGAGGCGGTACTCAAATCAGTCAATTTAGCTACTTGTTAGTACCACTTTCTAAAGGTTTAATGAGAGAGGAAGGCAAAACCTTTGGCTAAAGGGAAGTTTGGTAATTGCCTGCAGGTCTGATATGTTCCTACACTGCTCTTATGCCTTACTATGCACTCTGAAGCACTGACTGCACCTACTGACAGACATTTATAGCTACACAAAAGAAACACATCCCAGGGTCTCCTCAGGTATGCCTCAGCCTGACCCCTCTTAGCTCTGGATATCAGAGCCTGTAATGATGAGAAGCTTCCGTGGGATAACTCCCTGCTGACGTACATGGAAAGTGCTTGTTGGGGAGAAAATTGGCTTTGACTTGTACAGTTGACATGCAATCACTTTCCTGTTGTTGGGGTGGTACTCATCGCGGGTCCTTACCTGCATAATGCACATTCTGTATAGGAGCTGAAAAATGAAGAGAGGGAGAAGGGTGAGGAAAAATTTTGTGTCTTCTACATGGAGTTTACTGTAGCAACCACCATTGTTTTCTTTGGCGTGGTCTAACCGGCTTGTCACATCTCTATCAAGATGGCAGTATTGCAGATGGCATGTTTTCAGTGCACTAGCCCACACCCCAGAGCTTGTCAGGAGAGAACCACCTGCAAGTAATTGGAGATATTATGTATTAGTATAGGAATTGTTCTCCAGTTTTTCAAGATGATAATCAGAAAGAACAATTCAAGGATGCAGGGCAGGGAAGTGAAGTGAGAAAGTTTAGCACACAAGGGGTTGGATTCAAATCCCACACTTCTGACAGGGATTCTGGCACCCTGATGACCAGCTCAGGGTGGCACCTAGCAGCACCTAGCAGTTGATGTAAAAAGTGAAAAAGGTAAGATCAGTGAAACATATTAAAAGGGTAAGGAAGGTGACAAAATAATACACCAAAGTGAAGGACTTCAGAATGTCTCAAAAGTCTCTAACTTTAATGCATTAATGACTATAATAAACTGAACTTTCTTTAACATCCTTAACACAAAGAACTAGTACTATTTTTTCATATAAATTATTATATAAATAATCCCCATTTTACTTGGCAGGTAGAGGGTGGTTTCTTATTTTGACATGGAGATGAAAGGAAATGTAATCTCTGCTTTGACTTTATCCTTGGATTTCAGAAATAAGGTTAAACTTTGAACTCTCTAAATGACTTTATACATGCTGGTAGTGTCATTAAGAGTTCAGATTAGATTAGTTGGTTTTCGACTTTTCCAGTAGTTTCTGGTAAGTTTAGATGGCTGTTGCTGTACCATGAGAAGCACTTCATTGCTTCAGATGGCAGCAGTCACTTACTGCTAGTGATTTGCAACCTCCTTGTTGCCTCTTTTATGATCTTTCAGTTTCTACCTTTTCTTTGACTCCGTTAGGATTTCCTGATACAATGACAGATAAGAGACCCCCATTTAGATAGCAGTTCAGCTGTCCTATCGTGATGGGTTACAATTTTTCATAGCACTCCCTTTGACCAGACAAATTCCCCTCAAAAATTATGTAGACACCAAACTACTGTTGCCAGATAAATGGCATAATAAATGTGAAAATGTTTGAGTTTCTCCAAAGAAAGCTGCTATAGACGCTCAAAGTATAGTTTGAAAGTCATTTTGATTGTGTTCAAGTTTCCTGTAATAAAATTCCAGATAAAATGCATTCTAATGAAATTCATTTATGTGCCATGGAGTCTTGGTTTTTATATTTAAATAAAGAATATGTATGAATATATTTTTATGGCTATAAAGTGGTTATATTGATTTGGTCTGGTCTTCTCTTCAAGAGTTGTAATAGACCCATTATGTCAGCCTTTGATTAATTGAGGAAGCTGGGGGCCTGGTAATTGAATATGGAGCCTTTCACCTCTAAGTCACTGAATCAAATCCAGCCCAAATTGGTAGTGACCAAGAATGATTACAGCTGTGGCTCTTTGGTGGCCTTTGTGAAGTGTGTTTAGGTCATCTGGGAGTATGTCAGGATACTTGCTGACAGGAGACAGACTTATAGCTATGGTCACTTTTGCCTCTTCTTAGTCACTGTTGCCTGAAGTAGATGAAATCCCAGGGACTGGTAAGGCCAAGAAGACACAAGCACCTGTGAGAGGCCAAGATTTGTTTCTTTTAGGAAATAAGTAATAGGGACTGCTCTTTATTATTAGAGAAGAAACTGCTCTATTATGAGACTTTCCTAGCTATTTCAATTAGTTGACTTAAGGTTTAAATAAGATGAGAACTGAGAATGTGCTGATGAACTGAATTTGAACAGGCCTGGGCTGGGTGACTTAACTTTAACTTCCTGACATTTCCTTACAATCTTGTCTCTGTTACTCATCAACGTGTTCTCTGCTAAAGTCTTGCAGAGCCTTGGTGTATAGATAGTAGGGTTATTTGAACACTGATCCAAATTACTTTATGCTTTCAGATAAGTTTTATTATTAAATTATAAGTACTTGCAGGATGAAAGTTTATTTCCAAAGATATTTTCCCCAGTTTCCCCCCAACTTTTAAAATTCAGGAGTTTGTATGAAATACAATGTATTTTAAACTCACTATCCCTTTTTTGTATAAACAATCGCTATTTGTGGCAAGATAAATTTGAATCTGCTTCTAATACATGACAAATTGATACATGCACTCTTATTAAACAATTAAATATTGCCATTATTTTATTTCTAAAGAGAGGTAGCTCAGATTAGTGCTTCTCAAACTGTGTTAAAAATCAGTTTTTTAAAAAAATTTCTCTACTATAATGGTCAATTCATGTGTGAAATCCAATAAAAATGAAATATCTAAACATAAAGACATACAAAATATAAACCCTGATATTTTTATTATTAGATTCAACAGACATAAGATGTAACTTTCTGTATGTTTTCTATAGTGTCTATAATGTTTCTCTCTGTTTTTTCTTAGTGTCTGCCTTTATTTTGTTGTGTACTGGCAATAGACAGTTCAGAGACCAGCACTGCTTCATGAACCAGGCTTTGTGTAGCACTGGCTTCAGCTGAATATGTAATTTGAAAGATGAACTTGTTTAAACAAATAAAATTGTATCAGATACAATGATATGAAGCAGCAAAAGCAAAATGATCAAGAAACAAGAAATGATAACATATGAATGAGGTCTAAAACTCTAGCTAACATAGTAAGCACATATAATTGATGCCAAAGAAATGTCATTACAATCATTGATTCATTCAATGTATTTACTGAGAATCTACTGGGAGCCAGGAAACTGTTTTAGGCCCTAGAAATATAGCAGTGAACAGTACCTACAAACCCCTGATTCTTATTTGTGGTTGGGGGGGACACTAAAAGCAGGAAAATATTAGACAAGGTCTATGATGAAAACACAGTGGGCTGATATGATAGAGACTCAATGTAGGGTAGGGTATGGAGAAGACCTCCTAGACAGTTGACATTTGAATTGAGGATTAAATGACAAGAAATAGGCAAAGAGACCTAGGAAACATATGCCAGGCTTATCAGGAAGTAGAAATTAACCAGGAAAGGTTCAGGAATCATAAAGGCCAACAAGGCAGTAACTCAGTTAGAGGGAAGATTGGGAGGAGATGAGGTCTACAAGGTTGTCAGGGGTCAGATCATGTAGGTCAAAGTAAGGAACTTGAAGTTTATCTACAATATTCTAGAAAACCATTAAGAAGTTTTAAGTAGACTAGAGAGATCTCATGATGTATATTTTTAAAAAGTTACTCTGGAACCCTGGTAGCTGAGCAGATAATGAATTTTAGGGACATGGAGAACAGACAAGAGATTGTGGTGACCTGGACTAGTAGAGTAGTAGCCATGAAGAGAAATGAAGACAATGGGATGGTTTTTGAACAATCAGTAAAATTTTCTGATGTGGGAAAGGGGTGAAAAAGTGCGAAGATTTGAAGATGTCTACGTTCTTCCCCCTTACACAACTGGGTGTTGGTGACTTTATTGAGGGAGAGATAAAAGGAAGCCAGTTTGTAGTTGACTGAATCAGGAGTTGAGTTTTAGTCAAATTAAGTTTAAGGAATTATTAGATAACCAAGTCAACATGTCAGAGAGGAAGCAGAATATATGCTTTCCAAGGTAAGGAGAGGGGCCAATATGATATTGAGTATTTGGTGTATTAGATGGCATTGAAAGCCATGGGTCTAGAGATTAGTTAAGAAAAGAGGGCAGGAAGAGAAGATTCAGGGTCACTGGAATGAATCCTAGGGCTGCACATCAGTTAGGAAATGATCACAGGAGAAAAGTTGGTTAAGGAGACTGGGGAAAGGTAGGTGATGTGTAGATGAGTTGTAAGAGGGAAGGAAAGTGGTGAAGTGATAAACCTAAGCTGATCAACTGGGCTGAGTGAGAGTCAGTAAGTCAGCAAGAGAGTCCAAGAAAAGGAAGTATACAATAATCTACCTACCCAAAGGGAGTGGCAGTTGTCCCATGAAACTGTAGTTACCACTGAATATTAGGAGGGATACCCTGTTGAAAATATTTACATTTAAACATACTACCTCCTTGGATAAATCCATTAGCCTTAATAGAAAACTCATGACTTCTATGCAAATGATTTTGGATGTCATGTAGGCTCAGTCTTTAAAAAAGTCCACTATCATTATAGTTTTCAAATTGATTTTCTGTACCAGGAGCAGAAATGAGAAATTGAAGAAAATACTGAAATGAAAAATTCAAACTGAGACTTCAGGCTCTGGTTTAAATGTGCACGGCAAACACACCAGGCGTGCAGATTTTAAAATAAAACAGATGAGCTATTTTAAGTGTTTTATTGCAAAACTTAACGATTGTAGTTATTACTATTTTAAAAAAACTTTTAGATAGCAATTTTCCTATTCTTTGTACCTTTAAGTCCTTGGCTCTAATGTTCTACTCTTCCGACCTTGATCTAATCATGAATATCTATGCTACTTAATTATAATAAAAAAAGCCTACATTGCACTCTAGATGGTAGATGCACATTTTTTCTTCTTTGGTCACCTGCCAATTCTCAAAATTATAGCAGTGGGAAGAAATGCAAATGAAAGCCGTGCTTGACAGCTAAACATAATGGAATGCATGGTCCACATTTGAAAAGTTACCTTAAAATAAAAGGTAGCATATAAAAAATCATTTCTTTAAGGTCACCTATGGCTTTGAATTACAGCTTTGAAGAATTTCCAATTTAGTCATCAGATAGAAAGAAGCAAAAATAGGGATTATATACTTCACTAGAGGAAAGACAGAGTTTTACTTCATCATAGTTGGGTGATCTTATAATTTAGAAATAGTAAACAATACACGCAAAACAATGCACAACCCTCAAACATTCATTTTATAGAGACTTGTGTAAAGTCCACCACTGGAGAACATTTTCTATGCTAATTGTTCTTGTAGCTAATAAAGTTTTATCTGGTTAACATCCAAAAACAGGTTACCTTATCACATGTTAAAATATGTAACATTTGGACTACAATATACTGGCAGTAAACAGATTACATAGATCTGTATTAGTTGAAGGACAGAGAATGGTATGTGTCTATTCAGATGAATATATATTCAAACAGTAGATTAAGAAGCAAATGAATGGATGCTGAACAACTATTTAGAAAATTTGAATCCAAAAATAGTATATATGAATGTATGTATACATATGTGTGCATTTGTGTATGTATATTCACAAAATCCAAAATTATTTGATATTAGACACTTGAGAAAGTGCCAAAGTAGTTTTCAAGAAAAATCCTATACTTTACATTTTCTTCTTGTTTTGCTATTTGGGACTTTTTGGATATTGACTCCATTCTATAGACTGTTAGGAGGACATGGACTGCTAAGTGAGGTCCACAGGCCACAGAGCTCTCAGAAACAAAGCAGAGGCTTATGTGTACAATGTTTTCAGTGCTTCATTGCCTCTGTATGTGGCATAATAGAATGAGCTCCAGCCTAAGAAAAATAAGGCCTGGGTTCTGGTTCCACTTCAGCTCTTTTCTGTGACATCTTGAGCAAGTCATTTAATTATGTCTCAGCTTCTGCGCTCAGTTTAACAATAACAAACACTGATTGAACACTTAACATAATCAAGTATTTATAAGACACAGGAATTTCTAATTGTGTTTATAAATAGATAATTTCAACATATGCAGTAAATAAAATGGTAAAGATGTGTTTAAAGTGCTACAGGAGCAGAAGCAAAGCCTGCAGAGTCTAGTCTGCAAAAGGTGCCCTTCCCACCTACCTTCTAGGTATGTGATAAAAATAAAGTAACATTGGTGAATGTGCTTAATTTTTTAAAATGTAACTCACTGTATTGCTATTGGTAGTAGTTGTATAGAGAAATAGCAGGAAAAGAAAAATATGTTACAAATTAAGGCCTGAGTTAAACAAGATGAACAGACAGACTTAAAAATGGAACAGAATAGTAACTCCAGAAGTACAGGCGAAAGTATGGAATAAAGCTGGCATCTAAAAACAGTGTGAAAAACATGGACTTTTTAATAAATAAGGTTAGGATAAGTTGATAATAATATGGAAAAAAGATACAATTGGGTTTATTCTTAAAAGCTATTCTAATATAATTTATAAAGGGGTCAGAGAAGTAAAGAGGCAATAAAGTGAATACCAAAAGAAAATGTGGATGAATTCATTCTTTTATAACCTGAAAATCAGTAAAATTTTTTACCATGACTCAAAATTTAGAAGCAATAGGGAGATTATCAATGAATTTTATTACAAACATAAACCCCAATGAAAGACAAAACAAACACATGGAAAAACTTGTGAATGGAAAATAACACAAGAAAGAAGTTAAAAAGATATATGATAAATAGGGAATAACATTTGCAACTTTTATCATAGACAAAGTGTTAATACTCCCAAAATATAAAAATGCTCTGAAAATTGACAAAAAAGGAACAATGAAACAATCTACTCTTAACAAGTGGGACAAAGAAACAATCACAAGGGAATTTAGAAAATATCTGGACACAAATTAAAACAAAAACACACTATATCAAAACTTAAGAGATGCTCAAAGAACTAAAAATAATATAAATCAGAATTTGAGATGCTCATAAGTTTTGGCATAGTGTGTTTTGTTTTTATTTGTTTTAATTTCCCTTAAAAAGTTTATAATGGCAAATGTTTACATTAAAAAAAAAGAATGATCTCAAATCAATAACTTAACCTTGCACCTCAAGAAACTAGAGAAAGAAGAACAAACAACACAAAGTCAGGAGAAGGAAGGAAATAATGAAGATTAGAGCAGAGATAAAATAGAGAATCAAAAACAATAGAAAAAAAAACTCAATGAAAGCCTGTTGGCTTTTGGAAAGACTGACAAAATTAACAAATCCTTACCTACCTTATCAAAGTATCTACATGATTAAAAATACTTTAAATTTTTTGAGAACTCTTTTTATTGCTTCCCATAATGGCTCTACCATTTTACATTTCCACCAACCGTGCACAAGGGTTACCCACAATTTCTCCACATTCTCGTCAATGCAGTAGTTTTCTGATCTTTTAATATTGTCCATCTTGAGTGATGGCTGTGAAGTGATTTAGTATTATTATTATTACTATTACTATTATTTTACAGCAGTGTCTCCCTATCATTAGAATCCCATTGCAAAGAAGTAATCTTAACTTTTACTTAAAAATATTCTTGCAAATCATTCCTATCAAGGGTAATAAAACTGAGTCAATCTTCAAATTCTGAGTTGAAAGAGAAGTTACAAAGAATCAAAGAGAAAGGAGATCTGTCAAGAAAACAATATAAATCCAGGAATGAATGTAAAGTATAATTTACTTACGTTTTTCTGACTGATAAATCAGGTTATAGTACATCATATGAAGAATTGTCAGAGCCATAAGTGTAGACATAAAAGGAATAAGTAAAACAAGGGCCCAGGCCAGTGATTGCTGGATGTAAGATATTCCCAGAAACACAATAGTTGCATTTAGGTTCATGAGCCAATAAAACCTGGGGTATACAGACAGACAAAAATAAAAATACCATTGAGTTGCCTTAGATAAAAATTGCTAATTTTAATGCTTCTATTCAAATATAAACTATGAAATGATGGCATGTTAAATGAACCCAGTTTTGCAAATATTATCAGATTTTTTAGCAAGTGTATACACATCAGTCCTGATTTACCAGTTTCATTATCTTTGTTTTATCCTTTTTTAGAATAGATTTAGAAAGAATTTCTTCCATCTAAATCAAGATTGACAAAGTTTTTCTATAAAGGGCTGGATAGACAGTAAATATTTTAGGATAGACAGTAAATATTTTAGGCTTTGAAGGCCATACAGTCTCTGCAGCATTGTGGTGCTAAAGAAGCTATAGACAACACTTAATCATTCAAATACCCCTAATGAAACTGGGAAGGTTAAAAACATAATCCTTCCTGTAGATTCCAGTTTTCAAAATATAGGAAAACACTAAATACTCAGGAATATCTGGGTTATACCTAGAATAGACATGTAACTGAAGAAGTGAGTGACATTTGAATAAAACTTTCAATTTTTCTTCTAATTATTAGTATCACAGAGAGGTACCTACTCCAGTAGTCTAGTTGGAAAGTTCTGAGAAAACCATCTCTACCTTTCAACCTTTCACTGGGTCTAAACCTTGCCATTAGAATCCCATTACAAAGAAGAGAGTTTAACTTTTACTTAGAAAATTGAGGTAAAATTAAATACAATAAAATTTACTCATTTAAGTGTATAACTTGTATACATATTAGTTTTTTATGTGTTTCAGTTGTGCAAACATCAACAGATATGTTTTAGTACACTTACACTATCACTAAAATGTAAAGGGTTTATGTGATTAAATGAGACTCACCCTGCATAATCTGGGCTCTGATCAACTCACATGAACGAATGAGAAACCTCAATTATCTCTGCAAAATCCTTTCACTTTTGCCATATAACATAATTAGGTGAGTGATATCACATCATCTTTCCCATATGGTCTAAGCAAGAATGTGATCCACTGGGGGTCATCCTGGGGCATGTCCACACCTTTTTCTTTTTTTTTTTTTTTTTTTTTTTTTTTTTTTTTTTTTTTTTTTTTTTTTTTTTTTTTTTTTTTTTTTTGTGTGTGTGTGTGTGTGTGTGTGTGACAAAGTCTTTCTCTGTCACCCTGGCTGGAATGCAGTGACAGTCAAGGCTCAGTGCAGCTTTGACCTCCCAAGCTAAGCAATCCTACTGCCTTAGCTTCTCTCAAATAGCTGGGACCAAAAGCATGTACTACCATACCTGGTAATTTTTATTTCTATGTTTTATGTTTAGTAGAGATGAGGTCTCACTGTGTTGTCCAGGCAGCACATCTTCTAATTGCCCTTCCCTTCCCTTCTTTTCTCCTTCCCTCTTTCCCTCCCTCACTTGCTTCCTTCCTTCCTTCCTTCCTTCATTCCTTCCTTCCTTCCTTCCTCCCTCCCTCCCTCTCTTCCCTCCCTTCCTCCTTCTTTCCTTCCTTCCTTCCTTTTTCATTAGTTCATTCATTATTCTCTCTCCCTTCCTTCCTTTCTGCTTTCTTTCCTCCCTCCCTCCCTCCCTCCCTCCTTTCTTCCTTCTTTCCTTCCTTCTTTCCTTCCCTCCTTCCATCCTTCCCTCCTTCCTTCTTTGCCTCCCCCCCTCCCTCCTTTCCTCCCTCATTCCTTCCCTTATTTCCCTCTGTTTCTTCTAAGTAAAAGGAGAAGTAAAACCGACAGGCAAAACTGGCTATGGAGAGGGAATATTGAGCATTTGAGAAGAAAGAAAATATTTTGAAATAGTAATCTCAAGAAGGAGAGAAATTGACTGGACATCATATACTTGCTAGGCAATGATAAGGAACCACTTTGGTGGTCATGAACTTAATGTGAACATAATATAATTTTGCATTTTTCTCCAGATTTGTTGCTGTATGAGCACAATAATGGAATATGTGGCGAGTTGAATTTTAGCTAAGATTATTTCCTCCATAACACAGGAGAGTAGAAGAAAGTAAGCAGGGGAGAAAGAGTAATTGAGGACATGGAATATTATTGTTAATTAATTGGAGACTAGCCCTGCTGCATACTTGCTAGTTGGGAGTAGAGGTTCAGCTCCCTGCTGTACCCAGCTGACACCACCCAGGAGGGTGAATTGGAGCACTGCCAGTTTCTGCTGGGCAGGAGATGAAAGACAAGCTCCTCCCTTGGCCTCAGCAACACCACTCCACTTGGGAATCAGAGTATTCCTGTCTGATTCTCCGAGTGTTTATGTAAAATATTAGACTGTTACTCATGCTTGCTGAAACTATGGGGCCAGCAATATGCAGGTGAGGCAGTGATTTTAATGGTATTTGGCTGGAGGACAGATAGTGTAAAAAATATCTTCTCCTATATTCAGCTACCTTTTTCCTAGTACTTTGGGTAAGGGGAGAGGGACGTTTTTGGAGCTACCCATTCCTTGCCACACCTCGGATCTCACCCATCTGTGCCTGGTTCCAAGTTCTAGGCTTCTCCATAGCCCCACTGATAACAACAGGACACTCATTATTGTCCTTCCTCAAGTTCCAAGGACCCTAGGAAGAGACTGTCTTCTTTCTACCTTTTGGAATCTCTCTATGTTTGTTTGTTGTATCAGCCTTGGGTTTTTTTGATGTAAGAGGGGGTACCTGGGAGAAATAGATCTCTTCTCATATTGGCTAATACTGGAAATCCTCTATCTATCAATATATTTAATTGGATAGTTTCTTTTCCTTTTATTGATTTGTCAAAGCTCTTCATATATTCTGGATGCATGTCATCTGTCAGATACATGTTCTACAAATATTTTCTTATAATATGGGGCTTTCCTTTTCATTTTTTCAATGAAGCAGAAGTTTAAAATTTTATTAAATTTCAGTCTATCAATTTTTATCTTTATTGGTTTGTGCTTTTTGTGTCCCATGTAAAGAATACTTTCCAAGCCTAAATCACAAGTATTTTTGCCTGTGATTTTTGAAAAAAAAAAAATCACTTTTATGGGTTTTGATCTTATATAAAGTCAATAATTCAATTTGAATCAATTTTCAGTAGGGTGTCTTGAGGTAATTATTTCCTATATGGATATTCAGTTATTACAGTACAATTTATTGAGAAGATGATCTCTTCCTCAATAATTTTTTCGACAACTTTGTTGAAAATCAATTGACCATACAAATGTGGGTCTTATTTTCTGATGCTGTTTTGTTCCACTCATCTATTCTTATGCCAATACCATACTGTCTTGGTTACTGTTACTTTCTTTTCTCTTGTTTTTTTAAAGAGCTTTATTGAGATATAATTGAGATGCAGTAGGCTGCATGTATTTGAAGTGTGCAATTTGATAAGTTTTGAATATATATTCACACATGAAATCATTACCACATTTGAGATAATGAACATATCCATTGCTTCTCAAGTTCTGTCACGTCCCTTTGTCATCCTTCCCCCTGCCCCTTCTCATTTGCCCTTCCTCATCTTTAGGCAACCACTGATCTTTTCTCTGTCACTATTAATTAGTTTGCAATTCATATATATTTTTTAAAAATTAAATTATCTGTATCTTTTAACCTGGCTTCTGACTTCTTTCACTTAGCATAATTATTTTGAGATTCATCCTTGTTAATGTATTTATCTGTACACATTCCTCTTTATTGCCAAGTACTATTCCATTATGTAAATGTACCACTGCTTATGCATTTATCTGTTAATAGACATTTTTCAGCTTATAGCTATTACAAATAATGCTATTAAGAACATTCGTGTACAAGCCTTTGAACAGACATACACATTCATTTCTCTTGGGTGAAACCTAGGAGTGGAATGACTTGGTGATATGGTAGATGTATATTTAACATTTTTAAAAAATTTCAAAGAGTTTTTAAGTAGTTGTAACATTTAATATTATTACCACATGTGTATGAGAGTTCTAGTCTCTTCATATCCTTGCTAAATAATGGTATAGTACATGTGTATCAATGTCTCATTGTGGTTTTATTTTGCATTTCCCTGATGACTAATGATGTCGGGCATCTTTTCATGTGCTTATTGACCATTGGCACATCTTCTTTAGTGAAATTTCTGTCCTTATATATTCTGGCTATAAGTCTTTTCTCAATTATGTGATTTGTGAGTATTTTCTCCCAGTCTGTGGCTTGTCTTTTCATTCTATTAAAAGTGTCTTTTGAAAAGAAGATTAATTGTGATGAAGTCCTATTACAATTTTATTTTCATGGATCATTCTTTTAGGATGGTTTATCAGAAATCATTGCCTAAACTGAGGTCACAAAACTTTTCACTCTCTCCTCCAGAGAAGAAATCTGAACTTGGAGAACTGAAATTACTCATCTAAACTCACACAGCTGTATTGCTCATAGAGCCATGAGCAGCAGCCCTCATCCTGGTACAGGGCTAATTAGGCCAAATCTTCTGTTAGTACCACTTTTTGGGTCTTTGCAGTTATCAATTTCATGACACTATCATTTTCTGTTAATCCAGCCTTTAACATTTGAAATTACCTTTCATTCCTCTCGTCACATTTTATGTATCAATCATTAACTGTAATTGTTGTTCTACCTCTTCAGACTGGTAGTCTGATGACATGAGTTAGAGTCACAAAATCTGAAAATCACATGATCTGTGATCTTCTACTCTCTAGAATTCAGGGTAATTTTTAAAATGGAAATCACATATTCTAAACAAGGCTTTTTGGTAAAAATTTTAATGAAGAACACTGAAGGAAGAACATGGACCATAACTACATGGTGCTAAGCAAATGTCATCATCATCAAATGTTCATTTTTCCCCAATCCTAATTTCAGGAACAAAAAGAGCCATGAAATTGGAGCACAGTGAGTGATATGGTTTGGCTCTGTGTCCCCATCCAAATCTCAACTTGTAGCTCCCAAAATTCCCACATGTTGTGAAAGGGATCTAATCGGAGACAATTTAATCACAGGGGTGGGTCCTTCCTGTTCTCTTC